TGGCCCCGCCCCTCAGCCCCCTGGGGGGTCAGCCCAACCATTTGTACAATTTTGAATTTCCACCACCTAGGGATGCTTCCAGGCAAATATGGTTGATATCCATCTCTTAGTTCCAGAGAAGAAGTCGCTTAAAGCAATATAGCCAAATTGCCCCGCCCCTCAGCCCCCTGGGGGGTCAGCCCCACCATTTGTACAATTTTGATTCCCCACCACCTAAGGATGCTTCCAGTCAAATTTTGTAAAATTCCAATCAGTGGTTAAGAAGAAGAAGTCGTTTAAAGAAATTGTTGACGGACGGACGACGGACGCCACGGTATGGCATAAGCTCACCTTGGTCCTTTGGACCAGGTGAGCTAAAAAAGCAACAGGTTATGTGACTGGTACTGTGTATCTGTGTCAGGTCATGTGACTGGTACTGTGCATCTGTGTCAGGTCATGTGACTACTACTGTGTATCTGTGTCAGGTCATGTGACTGGTACTGTGCATCTGTGTCAGGTCATGTAACTCCTACTGTGTATCTGTGTCAGGTCATGTGACTGGTACTGTGTATCTGGGTCAGGTCATGTGAATGGTACTGTGTATCTGTGTCAGGTCATGTGACTGGTGCTGTGTATCTGTGTCAGGTCATGTGACTGTTACTGTGTATCTGTTAGGCAGGTCATGTGACTGGTACTGTGTATCTGTGTCAGGTCATGTGAATGGTACTGTGTATCTGTGTCAGGTCATGTGACTCGTACTGTGCATCTGTTAGTCAGGTCAAGTGACTGGTACTGTGTATCTGTGTCAGGTCATGTGACTGGTACTGTGTATCTGTGTCAGGTCATGTAACTCGTACTGTGCATCTGTTAGTCAGGTCATGTGACTTGTACTGTGTATCTGTGTCAGGTCATGTGACTGGTACTGTGTATCTGTGTCAGGTCATGTAACTCGTACTGTGTATTTGTGTCAGGTCATGTAACTGGTACTGTGTATATGTAAGTCTACCATCTCAATATTACTGTTACCACTGTTCTAATCTACCATCTCACTATTACTGTTACCACTGGTCTAATCTACCATCTCACTATTACTGTTACCACTGGTCTAATCTACCATCTCACTATTACTGTTACCACTGGTTTAATCTACCATCTCACTTTTACTGTTACCACTCGTCTAATCTACCATCTCACTATTACTGTTACCACTCGTCTAATCTACCATCTCACTATTACTGTTACCACTCGTCTAATCTACCATCTCACTATTACTGTAACCACTGGTCTAATCTACCATCTCACTATTACTGTTACCACTGGGCTAATCTACCATCTCACTATTACTGTAACCAGTCGTCTAATCTACCATCTCACTATTACTGTTACCACTAGTCTAATCTACCATCTCACTATTACTGTAACCAGTCGTCTAATCTACCATCTCACTATTACTGTTACCACTGGTCTAATCTACCATCTCACTATTACTGTTACCACTCGTCTCCAAGCATATATTTCAATATATTTTTTTCCCTTTAGATAGACTGCATGGTTCTGAATACTTGCAGCATAAAAAAATTCTCATCTTTTCACAAAAGTGTTTTTTTCCCCATGAAAACATTTCCAGTGTTCCTATTGTCACAAGCTATTTAAAATTATTTTTTATTAAGATGTGATTTTATAAAATCAAATTTAGTGAAGAACTTGAACAATTAAAGTCATTAGTCAGCTTGTAAACTCAACATCACTGAAAAGCTTGTAAAATCAAAGTCAATGATAAGTTTGTACTTTTGTGTACACCACTAAGTCTGCTGGATATCTACCTTCCGAGGAACAATCATAGATATTGGTTCTATGATGTCTTTAGCAGCCAGAAGCTTGTAAAACCTCATTACTTCACATTTACTGGTATCACAACCTCGCTTTGGCATCACACCTGGAAAAGGTAGAATTCAAATTAAATTCAGAGAAATTATAAACAACCCTCTAGCTACATTACTGGTAGAGTGTTAGAGTAGGGAGCTACACAATGCTGTCATGGAAATATCATGAACAGTTTGTGACATAAAGGGTCGATGGTAAATGAAGTTTGTGAGAGACAGGGGTCAATGTTGACCTTTAACCCCTTCAATGACCTTTAACAGGATAAGTAGGTATGTATTGGTGAACACATGAACACACTAATTGATAAATGAGACATAACATTACTCCTTACTCCATAAACAGAAGTAGAATGATGTAGGGATGCTATACTTGTACTTACCAAAACCTCTTTGTGGAAATGGGGACTGAAACTGGTTCAGGTAGTGAATCCCCTCCGAGTCATCAGTGATTTCAAAATAGCGAATGTTTCCATCACCCTGCAAGGAATAATACCCCATAGAACACATATTAAAGGAGAGTGTATACATCAAAGTATAATTTCACAGATATTTGCTATTGTTATCATGATCTATGAAATTCTCTTCTATATTATCCAATAATTCAAACAACATGAATACAAAAACTGTATTTCCCAGCGACATAGGCACTGACCGATGTTTATTTACAATCACCACGATTAATTTCCACAATAACACAATAATGTACATCTCGCACACAAACATATAGCTCCTAACCTATTTATCTCAATATAATAAACACTATTACACAAAAATGTACATCTCACACACAAACATATAGCTCCTAACCTATTTATCTCAATGTAATAAACACTATTACACAATAATGTACATCTCACACACAAACATATAGCTCCTAACCTATTTATCTCAATATAATAAACACAATTACACAATAATGTACATCTCACACACAAACATATAGCTCCTAACCTATTTATCTCAATGTAATAAACACTATTACACAATAATGTACATCTCACACACAAACATATAGCTCCTAACCTATTTATCTCAATATAATAAACACTATTTAAAAATATAATTTTTTAAATACACGTGCACTTCCTGTAACCTGTTTCGCCTGAATAACACGTAAAGGTGACAACCCAGCCCATTTCCACATGCAAATACCACCAATAGCGCCACCTACTGGGGTATCTCATACCAAAGAGAAAATAATTGCATCCTTATTCCTACCTTCAACCGATTGAAATTATATTTATGTTGACTATAGACAACCATCACAGAAGAAGGGAGATAACTCAATGAAAATAAAAATTATATAGTGTCATCCAAGAAGAAATATCTACAGATCTCATTGCGGGAACATTCAGGGAAGGCATTCAAATTAAAGAGATTCGGAAGATCTTTCCTGGTTGAAAATAACATCCATTTTAATGATATTCATACATGTATAACCAATATACTACAAGATGATCATGAATGATTGGTTTGTGAGTCAATTTGATATACAGCATAGGTAACCAATGGTGTGCGAGTCAATTTATATACAGTTTAAGGAACCAATGGTGTGTGGATTAATTTGATATACAGTATAGGCAACCAATGGTGTGCGAGTTAAATTAATATACAGTTTAGGGAACCAACGGTGTGTGAGTTAGTTTGATATACAGTATAGGTAACAAATGGTGTGTGAGTTAGTTTGATATACAGTTTAGGGAACCAATGGTGTGGGAGTTAAATTAATATACAGTTTAGGGAACCAATGGTGTGTGAGTTAGTTTGATATATAGTTTAGGTAACCAATGGTGTGTGAGTTAGTTTGATATATAGTTTAGGTAACCAATGGTGTGTGAGTTAGTTTTAATATACAGTATAGGTAACCAACGGTGTGTGAGTTAATTTTAATATACAGTATAGGTAACCAAAGGTGTGTGAGTTAATTTTAATATACAGTTTAGGTAACCAATGGAGGGTGATTGACTGACCTTGCCAGCGGTATAGACAACCTTGGAGTCATAGTCGTAGAAAGGCAGGACCACACCACTAGAACTGTCCATCTCGATCATGTTGATTGGCTTTCGAAGATTTTTCTGTAATATTTATAAAGTAAAGAGATGTTCAAATAATCCCTCCAATTTCATAATATGTACAGTAAAACAATGGCCTACTACAAGTATCACTATAAAGAACACCCACTTAATTCATCATTTGTCCAAGGGATTCAGAAATGCTCCAATGATACTTACGACATCCCATAATGCCAGCTGGCGTGTGGACATTCTGTCGAAGCCTGTTGTGATGAGCTTGTTCTGGCTGCTGACAAACGCCACTTTAGACGCCTTGTTGCCCACATGTCCCTGTGTCTCCTGGTCAACATACGCAACAATGTACAACAATCAGAAGTTGACAGGGATACAGCTACAGCAGGGCAATAGCCTAGCCTCACAATCATACTGACCACATGTATATTATGCAAGTCTACGTTCCATTTGTATCCAAATGTAAAAGGACATTTATCAATAAATCTCCCTCGCCAACAATAATGATAATAATTTTGCAACATTTAGATAGCGCCTTATATAATTTGTAAAATTACTCTAAAGCGCTTTACAACTTATGGATAATAGTATTAATTATAATTTTACTATATAAAAAGGCTTACAATCACCATTATACATTAAGCAAGAAGATAATCATCTCAATGATAAATATTATTAAATTATGTGAAGCTGAATCAAGTCATTTTGGTACATGTATAACAACTATTGTACATATGCTTACAGCGTAGCCGAATTAACACCATTGGGGGCTCTCACTCACTAGTAATTTCCAATTCCTCGTTTCGTTCCATTTGGGTTTTAATTCCTGGGGAATTTTCCCCCCAATACTTTTCTGTAATATTATTTACTTATCTGTTGATTATTTAACTGCTTTTGCTTTAATTTTTCTGTCTATTCTTGATTCTACTAGGCTCTTGAATCGCTCAGGAGTTTCGTCTTGCCAGCTCTTAAATCGCTTAAGTCTGGTGGTCAGTTTGCCTCTCTTGAATCGCTCAAGGCAAAGCTCTCTGCTTTTAAATCGCTTAAAAGCTTTCTTTACTACTTATATATATGAGTATCTTATATGCAGCTCTTGAATCGCTTAAGGGTTTGCTCTAGATATCTACATGTATACTGTCTTGAATCGCTCAAGAACTTTCACTAGATATTTACATTCGGCCTGTCTTGAATCGCTCAAGAGTTAGTTGTCTGGCCTACTTAAAATATATTGCTGAGAATATATTTTTTGTTTTTCCTTGTGGCCTCTTTCTTTGCTTAGGAGGCTACCTCATCAGTACATGTTTGTTTTTGTAGTATTGTATATAGTTAGCTTATTGTGTTGAGTCAGTAGCCCCTGATACGCCAAAGTATAAGTTTGTATTTGCTTTTATCTTGCTATCTGCCTCATTTAAATATCTTGAATTGTAATAAACAGGTAAACTGTTGTTTCATCGTTTTTGTTGTGTATAAATTACACCTTTGTGTCCATACACTTCACTGGTCATTTGTCTGGTGCAGGTGACAGAGTACATACCGTACTAGGCATTGAAATGTCACATAGAAACACTTATTGGTTGTGTAACAAGAAGCTTTTCATAATGTATTTATAAGTAGTTTATAAAGATATTTAAATATGCATATGTTGTGCAGGATGAATCCCCTGCCCATGTTTATCTGAGAGATGCCCTTTATTTCTGGGATAAGGCCATTTCTACTGTACACTGCTACCTTGTTTTACTACAGAAATCCAGTCAGTAACTTACCATGGCTACAGAACTGATTCTGGGATCAATGATACGAAGGTTACGATCTTTACAAGTGGAGGCGAACAGACTGCCCTCTCGGTTCCAGGACATGGAGAAAACTGTATCCTTGTGACAGTCTATTATGTTGATAGGTTCTGCTTGCTCAATGTTCCATAAAATACACTGCAAAACACAGATTTACCTCAGTTAAAACATACAGCCAGTATATTTGTGAAGAGATTACACACGTGTCAACTTCGTTACCCTGTATCAGCATAAACGTCCTTCAATATCTTACATGAAAGTCAGAGAAAAGGAGACTTTTAGTTTTCTGTTGGCACAATATTTAGTGTGCTTCATATTTATTGATGGTGAACATTTCAATATAAACCAGATTTAACTCATAATGTGGGCTTCATGATACCTCGCTCCCCGCGTAGTCTGTTCCTATATAAAAAGTGTTGGGTATTTGATATCAAATTCAAATAGTTGGATGTTGACCTCATGAACTTAGTTTCATTACACAACACTGTAACCTTCTGATCTTCACATCAAATCTGATGTCAACACATAAAATGGTAGTCAAGATATCTTCCATGATCCTACACCTACCATGCCGTATTTCAAACTTGAGGCCATACTAAGGATGAATTAAAACGCACATATTCCTTAGTTATAAAGTACACTCACACCAAATCTGAAGTTAATACATGAAATGGTAGTTAAGATATGCTTTAGAAACCTGTACTATACTGCGAGTACTTCAGGTCAAGGCCAAAGGTCAAATAGCGGCCACAATGACCTCACATTTTAGGATGCCACACACCGCCTTCCCATGATGTACTTATATACAAAGTATGATGCCCATTCAAGAAAAAGTTGCTGAGCTATGCTCTGAAAATCTAAAGAATTAAGGTCAAGGTAGAAGGTCAAATAGTGGTGACCTCATTTAGGATGTGACACACAGCCTTCCCATGAGGTACCTATATACAAAATGTATGCCAATTTGAGATACAGGGGCTGAGATATGTTCCAGAAACCATTATATTAGAACTTAAGGTCAAGGTCAAAGGTCAAATTGAGGTCATAGTGACCTCATTTTAGGATGTGACAAAGCCTGGGTGTAAAAAAGGAAAATATTATGAAGCATTCATACTTCCTCACTGAGGAAAGTATGTAGACAATATGGTATGATTGTTATTTAGACAATTAAGAAAATAAACATAAGTATAGAACGTTTGGTAAACTTGAGAAAAATAGCTAAATTTATGGTCTTTTTTTGACAAAATACAGTATCAACAAGGTTACCGCGAGCGGTATATAATACGCCCGCCACACATTGAATGAGCAGTTGTTTGTATGATTGAAATATATGAAGTATTTGTTAGTAATTGATATTAAAAGAGAAATCATTCAACATAACTGCTAGATCAATGAGTGCAATACAACATCATGGAACGCATGCATCGCATTAGTGAAACCAAGGGGAATAACTCAACAAATTATGGTCGGATAATGGCGGTTATCGAACTTGTCCGAGGTTTCATGGTAATTAACCTTGTTGTTAAGTTTGAAGTTAATCCGTTAATAATTACTCGAGATATAGAGCGTACATCGTTTGCATGACGGCCCGACCGCTCACGTAATAACATAATACGTCCCTGTCTTCGACGGCCGTATAAAAATGAACAAAGGGCTACAATAACAGTGTATATAGGCTCACGTGATAACATAATTCGTCCCTGTCTTCGACGGCCGTATAAAAATGAACAAAGGGCTACAATAACAGTGTATATATGGTAATTAACCTTGTTGTGAAGTTTGAAGTAAATCTGTTAATAATTACTCGAGATATCGAGCGTACATCGTTTGCATGCCGGCCCGACCGCTCACGTGATAACATAATACGTCCCTGTCTTCGACGGGCGTATAAAAATGAACAAAGGGCTACAATAACAGTGTATATAGTGGGGCACATCACCACACTCTGTCCCCGTAACAGGGACTTAACAGTGTATATAGTGGGGCACATCACCACACTCTGTCCCCGTAACAGGGACTTAACAGTGTATATAGTGGGGCACATCACCACACTCTGTCCCCGTAACAGGGACTTAACAGTGTATATAGTGGGGCACATCACCACACTCTGTCCCCGTAACAGGGACTTAACAGTGTATATAGTGGGGCACATCACCACACTCTGTCCCCGTAACAGGGACTTAACAGTGTATATAGTGGGGCACATCACCACACTCTGTCCCCGTAACAGGGACTTAACAGTGTATATAGTGGGGCACATCACCACACTCTGTCCCCGTAACAGGGACTTAACAGTGTATATAGTGGGGCACATCACCACACTCTGTCCCCGTAACAGGGACTTAACAGTGTATATAGTGGGGCACATCACCACACTCTGTCCCCGTAACAGGGACTTAACAGTGTATATAGTGGGGCACATCACCACACTCTGTCCCCGTAACAGGGACTTAACAGTGTATATAGTGGGGCACATCACCACACTCTGTCCCCGTAACAGGGACTTAACAGTGTATATAGTGGGGCACATCACCACACTCTGTCCCCGTAACAGGGACTTAACAGTGTATATAGTGGGGCACATCACCACACTCTGTCCCCGTAACAGGGACTTAACAGTGTATATAGTGGGGCACATCACCACACTCTGTCCCCGTAACAGGGACTTAACAGTGTATATAGTGGGGCACATCACCACACTCTGTCCCCGTAACAGGGACTTAACAGTGTATATAGTGGGGCACATCACCACACTCTGTCCCCGTAACAGGGACTTAACAGTGTATATAGTGGGGCACATCACCACACTCTGTCCCCGTAACAGGGACTTAACAGTGTATATAGTGGGGCACATCACCACACTCTGTCCCCGTAACAGGGACTTAACAGTGTATATAGTGGGGCACATCACCACACTCTGTCCCCGTAACAGGGACTTAACAGTGTATATAGTGGGGCACATCACCACACTCTGTCCCCGTAACAGGGACTTAACAGTGTATATAGTGGGGCACATCACCACACTCTGTCCCCGTAACAGGGACTTAACAGTGTATATAGTGGGGCACATCACCACACTCTGTCCCCGTAACAGGGACTTAACAGTGTATATAGTGGGGCACATCACCACACTCTGTCCCCGTAACAGGGACTTAACAGTGTATATAGTGGGGCACATCACCACACTCTGTCCCCGTAACAGGGACTTAACAGTGTATATAGTGGGGCACATCACCACACTCTGTCCCCGTAACAGGGACTTAACAGTGTATATAGTGGGGCACATCACCACACTCTGTCCCCGTAACAGGGACTTAACAGTGTATATAGTGGGGCACATCACCACACTCTGTCCCCGTAACAGGGACTTAACAGTGTATATAGTGGGGCACATCACCACACTCTGTCCCCGTAACAGGGACTTAACAGTGTATATAGTGGGGCACATCACCACACTCTGTCCCCGTAACAGGGACTTAACAGTGTATATAGTGGGGCACATCACCACACTCTGTCCCCGTAACAGGGACTTAACAGTGTATATAGTGGGGCACATCACCACACTCTGTCCCCGTAACAGGGACTTAACAGTGTATATAGTGGGGCACATCACCACACTCTGTCCCCGTAACAGGGACTTAACAGTGTATATAGTGGGGCACATCACCACACTCTGTCCCCGTAACAGGGACTTAACAGTGTATATAGTGGGGCACATCACCACACTCTGTCCCCGTAACAGGGACTTAACAGTGTATATAGTGGGGCACATCACCACACTCTGTCCCCGTAACAGGGACTTAACAGTGTATATAGTGGGGCACATCACCACACTCTGTCCCCGTAACAGGGACTTAACAGTGTATATAGTGGGGCACATCACCACACTCTGTCCCCGTAACAGGGACTTAACAGTGTATATAGTGGGGCACATCACCACACTCTGTCCCCGTAACAGGGACTTAACAGTGTATATAGTGGGGCACATCACCACACTCTGTCCCCGTAACAGGGACTTAACAGTGTATATAGTGGGGCACATCACCACACTCTGTCCCCGTAACAGGGACTTAACAGTGTATATAGTGGGGCACATCACCACACTCTGTCCCCGTAACAGGGACTTAACAGTGTATATAGTGGGGCACATCACCACACTCTGTCCCCGTAACAGGGACTTAACAGTGTATATAGTGGGGCACATCACCACACTCTGTCCCCGTAACAGGGACTTAACAGTGTATATAGTGGGGCACATCACCACACTCTGTCCCCGTAACAGGGACTTAACAGTGTATATAGTGGGGCACATCACCACACTCTGTCCCCGTAACAGGGACTTAACAGTGTATATAGTGGGGCACATCACCACACTCTGTCCCCGTAACAGGGACTTAACAGTGTATATAGTGGGGCACATCACCACACTCTGTCCCCGTAACAGGGACTTAACAGTGTATATAGTGGGGCACATCACCACACTCTGTCCCCGTAACAGGGACTTAACAGTGTATATAGTGGGGCACATCACCACACTCTGTCCCCGTAACAGGGACTTAACAGTGTATATAGTGGGGCACATCACCACACTCTGTCCCCGTAACAGGGACTTAACAGTGTATATAGTGGGGCACATCACCACACTCTGTCCCCGTAACAGGGACTTAACAGTGTATATAGTGGGGCACATCACCACACTCTGTCCCCGTAACAGGGACTTAACAGTGTATATAGTGGGGCACATCACCACACTCTGTCCCCGTAACAGGGACTTAACAGTGTATATAGTGGGGCACATCACCACACTCTGTCCCCGTAACAGGGACTTAACAGTGTATATAGTGGGGCACATCACCACACTCTGTCCCCGTAACAGGGACTTAACAGTGTATATAGTGGGGCACATCACCACACTCTGTCCCCGTAACAGGGACTTAACAGTGTATATAGTGGGGCACATCACCACACTCTGTCCCCGTAACAGGGACTTAACAGTGTATATAGTGGGGCACATCACCACACTCTGTCCCCGTAACAGGGACTTAACAGTGTATATAGTGGGGCACATCACCACACTCTGTCCCCGTAACAGGGACTTAACAGTGTATATAGTGGGGCACATCACCACACTCTGTCCCCGTAACAGGGACTTAACAGTGTATATAGTGGGGCACATCACCACACTCTGTCCCCGTAACAGGGACTTAACAGTGTATATAGTGGGGCACATCACCACACTCTGTCCCCGTAACAGGGACTTAACAGTGTATATAGTGGGGCACATCACCACACTCTGTCCCCGTAACAGGGACTTAACAGTGTATATAGTGGGGCACATCACCACACTCTGTCCCCGTAACAGGGACTTAACAGTGTATATAGTGGGGCACATCACCACACTCTGTCCCCGTAACAGGGACTTAACAGTGTATATAGTGGGGCACATCACCACACTCTGTCCCCGTAACAGGGACTTAACAGTGTATATAGTGGGGCACATCACCACACTCTGTCCCCGTAACAGGGACTTAACAGTGTATATAGTGGGGCACATCACCACACTCTGTCCCCGTAACAGGGACTTAACAGTGTATATAGTGGGGCACATCACCACACTCTGTCCCCGTAACAGGGACTTAACAGTGTATATAGTGGGGCACATCACCACACTCTGTCCCCGTAACAGGGACTTAACAGTGTATATAGTGGGGCACATCACCACACTCTGTCCCCGTAACAGGGACTACCATAACAAATAGTGGGTGACAGATGACATGATATGCCTTTGACAACAGACACACTTAAACACAAGGATAATAACACAAGAGGCCCAGTATTGCTCACCTGGATATTTGAGCAATCATGGGAAAATTTTCTCCATAAAAGTAATTTTGCAAATATTTCAATATGTTGAGGCTCCTTGGCTTAAGAATTTTCTAAACTAAATGAAACTTTATACATACTCTATCCCAGCATGTTACCAGTCAAGTATTATCACCATTGGTTATCAGAAGAAGTAATTTTTTTTATTTTTCTAAATATTTGATTTCTGTAACCTTGAAACTTTTTAGCAATCTGTCCAAGGTACATACTGGCCAAATAGTATTGATCTATACCTCTCGGTTATTCAGAAAAAGTCTACAGCTAAATTCATAATTTGACCCCTGTGACCTTGAAAGTAGATCAACGTCACTTATTTGAAGAAACTTAATAGCACTTCATGCCAGGTACCCATCATAACCCTGGGCCTCCTGCTTATTCAGAAGAAGTTTTTCAAATGTTTTTACACATTTGACCCCTGTGACCTTGGGAATAAGTCAAGGTATTTTATTTGAGGAACATTTATAGCACTCTGTTCAAGGTACATACTGGACAAATATCATAGCCTATGTCTTCCAGTTCTTAAGAAGAAGTTGTTTAAATAAAAAGTTGACGGACCACGGACGATGGACAATGCACCATACCATAAGCTCCACTGGCAGTTTGAGCCAGGTGAGCTTAAAAACATGAGGAAGGGTAAATGAACTATTTTTTACTTTGAAGTCCATTCCTGCACTGAGGAGAACATTTTCTGCAGTTGGGTGCCAATCAATGTAGGTTGCCCGGCGACTGTGTCCATGGAGATCCACTACCCACTCAGTTAGGTTTCCTTTGAGGCCGTTTTCTGGTAATTGCCACACCTTCACCTAGTAACAGAATCAATCATATTACCCTAGTAACAGGTTCATTATATTGTCAACTATAAATAGATAAAACATCATTGTCATCATAAAACAGATTCAATATCATACCACTTACATAGCTTTTATTTGTAACAACTGATCACAGAAGGTGGAAACTGAGTTGGGAATTTTGACAATTTTGAGAAGCCCATGGGCCTTATATAGCACATGTAAACCAAACATGTCTATTTAACTATGGATTCCCAAACAAACACATATATATCGCTGGTAACTATAGATTCCCTGACTAACACAGATATATAGCTGGTAGCTATGGATTCCCCGACAAACATAGATATATAGCTGGTAACTATGGATTCTCTGACAAACATAGATATATAGCTAGTAACTATGGATTCCCTGACAAACATAGATTTATAGCTAGTAACTATGGATTCCCTGACAAACATAGATATATATATAGCTAGTAACTATGGAATCCCTGACAAACATAGATTTATAGCTAGTAACTATGGATTCCCTGACAAACACAGATTTATAGCTAGTAACTATGGATTCCCTGACAAACACAGATTTATAGCTAGTAACTATGGATTCCCTGACAAACACAGATTTATAGCTAGTAACTATGGATTCCCTGACAAACATAGATATATATATAGCTAGTAACTATGGATTCCCTTACAAACATAGATTTATAGCTAGTAACTATGGATTCCCTGACAAACATATATATATAGCTGGTAACTATGGATTCCCTGACAAACATAGATATATATATAGCTAGTAACTATGGATTCCCTGACAAACATAGATTTATAGCTAGTAACTATGGATTCCCTGACAAACATATATATATAGCTGGTAGCTATGGATTCCCTGACAAACATAGATATATAGCTGGTAACTATGGATTCTCTGACAAACATAGATATATATATAGCTAGTAACTATGGATTCCCTGACAAACATAGATATATAGCTAGAAACTATGGATTTCCTGACAAACAAAGATATATAGCTGGTAGCTATGGATTCCCTGACAAACATAGATATATAGCTGGTAACTATGGATACCCTGACAAACATAGATATATAGCTGGTAACTATGAATTCCCTGACAAACATAGATATATAGCTGGTAGCTATGGATTCCCTGACAAACATAGATATATAGCTGGTAACTATGGATTCCCCAACAAACACAGATATATAGCTAGTAACTATGGATTCCCTGACAAACATAGATATATAGCGGGTAACTATGGATTCCCTGACAAACATAGATATATAACTGGTAACTATGGATTCCCTGACAAACATAGATATATAGCTGGTAACTATAGATTCCCTGACAAACAGATATATAGCTAGTAACTATGGATTCCCTGACACACATAGATATATAGCGGGTAACTATGGATTCCCTGACAAGCATATATATATAGCTAGTAACTATGAATTCCCGGACAAACAAAGATATATAGCTGGTAACTATGGTTCCCTGACAAACACAGATTTATAGCTGGTTACTATGGATTCCCTGACCAACATAGATATATAGCTGGTAGCTATGGATTCCCTGACAAACATAAATATATAGCTGGAAACTATGGATTCCCTGACAAACATATATATATAGCTAGAAACTATGAATTCCCTGACAAACAAACATATATAGCTGGTAACTATGGAGTCCCTGACAAACATAGACATATAGCTGGTAACTATGGATTCCCTGACAAACTAACTATGGATTCCCTGACAAACATAGACATATAGCTGGTAACTATGGATTCAGCTGGTAGCTATGGATTCCCTGACAAACATAAATATATAGCTGGTAACTATGGATACCCTGACAAACATAGATATATAGATTCCCTGACAAACATAGATATGTATATAGCTAGTAACTATGAATTCACTGACAAACATAGATATATAGCTGGTAACAATGGATTCCCTGACAAACATAGATCTATAACTGGTAACTATGGATTCCCTGACAAACTAACTATGGATTCCCTGACAAACAAAGATATATAGCTGGTAACTATGGGTTCCCTGACAAACATAGATATATAGAGGGTAACTATAGATTCCCTGACAAACATAGATATATAACCGGTAACTATGGATTCCCTGACAAGCATAGATATATAGCTGGTAACTACGGAATCCCTGACAAACATAGAGATATAGCTGGTAACTATGGATTCCCTCACAAACAGATATATAGCTGGTAACTATGGATTCCCTGACAAACATATATATATAGCTAGTAACTATGAATTCCCTGACAAACATAGATATATAGCTGGTAACTATGGATTCCCTGACAATCATAGATATATAGCTGGTAACTGTCACACAAAGCTTCTGTCTTCTGAGACTTACATGGAATAACACGTCCATAGCATTATTATCCATATCACCTCCAACCAAATCAAGCTTGAATTAATCTTACTAAAATAAGCGAAATAATACCAAACATGGTATTTATGTATATATTGTTTATAAACAAGGGGGAATGGATGCCCCTGGGGTACTGAAATTCACAGTTTTTATTAAGCACCAATGAACCTTTTTAACAAGAAGAGACTATTAGAAGTATTAGTACTGTTTCACTTTGTAGAAGTGACAGTTATAATTACTGTGTTATCATCGGAGCAGGAAGCAATCATGTAGTCGCTGAAGGGACTCCATTTGATATCTAACACCTTGCCAGCATGCCCAGAGATTCGAGGGGCATTGACGTCCACTCTTCCCGTCTGTAAATTAAAATTAAATATTCCAGTACTGTTATTATAAAAAGTACTATTATATAGGTCATATGAGATCACTTGTAAATATTTAAAGTCTTAATTTTTAAGACTCTAGCAGTAAGTTGCCATGAGTGATACCTTCTCTTGTTAAATCTGATAATAGCCTTCTCCTGAAATTGTATTAATGTATGTTAAAAGTATCATGTTTGGTTTTAACCTTTTCCATAATGTACTTGTTTGAGTAAGGATTAGGATCTTTCTTCCTGAAACCTTTAACATCAATCTGTCAGATTACATACTGGCAATATAGCAATATCACATTTAGTACCATATAACAGGGCCAATAAGGCCTGTCAATCACTGTAGACCCCACCACTGACCTGGTCAATCACTGTAGACCTCACCACTCAACCACAACCTACCTGATGTAGAGGACACAACCTACCTGATGTAGAGGACACAACCTACCTGATGTAGAGGACACAACCTACCTGATGTAGAGGACACAACCTACCTGATGTAGAGGACACAACCTACCTGATGTAGAGGACACAACCTACCTGATGTAGAGGAATACACAAAAACGACCCTCCTCCTGATGATTCAACAACAACGGCAATGAATTTGGGGTTGACGGCACAGAAGTTACTGTCGTGGGCATTACGTGTGATTTTGATGTTTTCATAGCACTGCTCTTTACGATGGGCTCGCCCGAAAACATGGCGGAACTTGGAGCTCCGGACTTGGAAAGGCATCTGTCAAAAATGAATTTGGTTATTACCTTTAATGGGTCTGGTACTAGTTGACCATTAAAATCGGTTTCTCTTTTAAATGTCATTTGACTGAAAGCTCTCTTACATGATGTTGTATGTGATTTGTGCTTTAGTTATCTCCCCTAAAATTGTCCACTTTAACACATTTTCCAATAAATCAGTTTTAACCAGAGTTGTTTATGTAATAATTCATGTTTGCTTTCTGAGGTGACATTAATTTCTGTTGATTTATTCACTGAAATACTTTCAGTTGGTGTTCATGCACGTGTGTTTGTGCTAATCAATTAATGTTCACACATTAGTTTTACTTGATTTATAAAGCAAAGATGTGTTTCATTTTATGGAAGTTTCTGTTGTGTAGTCTTGGACATCTTTTCCCTCAAGCCACCGACATTATCAAAATATTTAACACAAAAATATATAACTTATACAATGGAAGAACACTTTCAATCCAGATGCTGACATGTCAGAAAAAAACATTTTTCAAAAAACAAATTTTCTGGACACATTTGTTAATTTATGCTGCAGTTGTAGAGAATGGTGTCAAACCGTTGTAGAATCCAATTATATCATTACTGGGTAAAACACAAACAAAAACACTGCATGCAGGCCAGTCATGCAAAATAATCAATAAGGCCAACCTAATGGTTTCTATGTTTTACATCATCATTGGAATAAGTTCATATAATTTATTTCAGAAATTCATGAAAAAACTTAATTACTGGGTCAAATGATGTATTTTCCAAAATTTTACAACTGGTTCTTAATAAGGTTTTTGTAGATTTTTTTAAGAATCTTGGCACGGTGCATTCCTCCTACCAAGTAAAATGACATTAACCCTTTACCACAGGAAAGTGCTGATGAAAAATTCCTTCACAAAAAAAAGATGTATCAATTACATACACTAGAACACTGACAGGTCATCAAGGGCCCTCACATCTATCTCACCGTAACGTCAGGCTCTAGTTTTACCAATGGTCACCTTGACATAAACAACTTGTTAAACCCCTAAAAAACACACTTATCTCAGTGTATCAACATGTCAAATTTCAAAAAGATTGTCTTTTGGATTCCGAGATAAGGACTGCAACCCACATCGTCTATTTTAAGTAATGGTGACCTTGACCTTAGAAACTTTTTAAACCCCTAGTGCAAAACTACATATCATAGTGCATTCCTATGTTGAATTTCAGAAATTTTGGTCTTTTCGATTTCAAAGCTATTATCTGGAAATTAAAGTGAGGGCAAGACAGTCAGCTGACAACTATTGAACCATGGATGAAGGGTGATTTGAACAGCTCATCATCTGATGGTGATGGACTAAACAAATCTAAAATTAACATGACTGATACTCTTAGCTAATGAAAATTCTTTACATTTAAAGATGTATTAGTATTAGATGTTAATTGATGAAGATTGGATAAGGTCCAAAATTCAAGTTGAGGTAAATCATACCAAATTTATATCCATTTATGATTATAAAATCACTTAAACTTATTTCCAGATCAGATACAGAAGAAATTATATATGTTGTCAAAATAAATTGAACGACTAGAAATTATTGGACTAAATAATCTGATCAGGCACTACTACATATAACGGACTCAGGTACAGTGTGAAGACTTATATAGCGGACTACATTCAGGTACAGTGTGAAGACTTATATAACGGACTACACTCAGGTACAGTGTGAAGACTTATATAACGGACTACACTCAGGTACAGTGTGAAGACTTATATAACGGACTACACTCAGGTACAGTGTGAAGACTTATATAACGGACTACACTCAGGTACAGTGTGAAGACTTATATAACGGACTACACTCAGGTACAGTGTGAAGACTTATATAACGGACTACACTCAGGTACAGTGTGAAGACTTATATAACGGACTACACTCAGGTACAGTGTGAAGACTTATATAACGGACTACACTCAGGTACAGTGTGAAGACTTATATAACGGACTACACTCAGGTACAGTGTGAAGACTTATATAACGGACTACACTCAGGTACAGTGTGAAGACTTATATAACGGACTACACTCAGGTACAGTGTGAAGACTTATATAACGGACTACACTCAGGTACAGTGTGAAGACTTATATAACGGACTACACTCAGGTACAGTGTGAAGACTTATATAACGGACTACACTCAGGTACAGTGTGAAGACTTATATAACGGACTACACTCAGGTACAGTGTGAAGACTTATATAACGGACTACACTCAGGTACAGTGTGAAGACTTATATAACGGACTACACTCAGGTACAGTGTGAAGACTTATATAAAGGACTACACTCAGGTACAGTGTGATGACTTATATAACGGACTACACTCAGGTACAGTGTGAAGACTTTTTGGTAGCAGATATTACAGTACATACATTGTTTCAAAAACTGAAGGATTACTAGTCTTACTGAAATTTAAAGTTTGAATTAACTTAACGATCAAAATATTCCATAGTATAAACTTCAACTTATTCTATAGTTAACTTTGAAATTAAGCCTAAAGGTCTACAAGAGTTATCACTGAGATGTTGTACACAATGGGCAGAGGATACAACACTATACTGAGTGTCGCAGTCTGGTGGGTGGAAAAATAGTTACAAGACCTGTTTTCTGTGTCGATACTGCTACAAAGCTAGGTCAGTGAAGTCAGCCATTCAACAGCTGTTCTGTGTATTGACACCAAACCAATGTGAAAATGAACCTACAGAGCCAGGAAATGTCACCAATACTTTCATTCATTTAAGGATGCATGTACATGTAATTTGTACGCTCAAACATGAAGAGGAGACAATATAGAGAAAACTGGTGTCTCATTATATTTACTGTGACATAGAGAAAACTGGTGTCTCATTATATTTACTGTGACGTAGAGAAAACTGGTGTCTCATTATATTTACTGTGACATAGAGAAAACTGGTGTCTCATTATATTTACTGTGACATTGAGAAATCTGGTGTCTCATTATATTTACTGTGACATTAAACCTATTTTTTCTGGTAAGATCATGAGCAAATCTGACATGACCAGTACTTAATAAAAGCATTTGAATATTCGTAAATCTTACATTTTAATCTGACACATTTACATGTAGTTACATGTGTGACCATCAAACCATTATTAATTTCTGTATCTACAAAAAATAACGCTCAATGTTTCTGGCTGTAGTGCAATCCAAACAGATGTAATGTTTTATGCAGTTGTTTTGTAGTGTATACAATTTTGAATTCCTACATGACTGTTGATGTTGAACACATTTTATAAACACCAGTCTTATCTACTCATGTAAGGCAATATCACAACTAAATACAGCAGGGGTCAGTCCCCCTCAGTCTGACAGACAAACATGTGAACACTTCAACACTACCTTTTGATTGGACCAGTGGTATTTTTGTAATTAAAAATAGTAGTTAACATATGATTTATCAGTGAATTCTGTTATCCACATATTACCATTCATTTCAACACTAATTCACATACAGCTAGGTCAAATTACTACAGGATAGTGATAGGCCCAAGGGAGGATAAGATAAGGTGTGTGTGTGTGTGTGTGTGTGTGTGTGTGTGTGTATGGGGGGGGGGCAGTAGTTTGTGATCAACTTCAATGTCCCTTAGCACCACACTTAACAGGACACTATCCTACACTGACTGATCACCGGTCCATCAGGACACTATCCTACACTGACTGATCACCGGTCCATCAGGACACTATCCTACACTGACTGATCACCGGTCCATCAGGACACTATCCTACACTGACTGATCAC